TTTTTTTCCCCCCTCCTCGAATTTTGACGGGTTTCCCCCACTTGAATTGTGTGGGTTTTTCGCCCTCGAAGGTTTGTGTCTCTAACCGCGTCAGTGATTTTTGTTTTCGTTTGGTTTTTTTTTTGGTTGGTTTTTTTTTTTTTTTTTTTTTTTTTGTTTTTGTTTCCCATTGAAATTGATCCCCTCCTTCCGCCTCGAATTTTGTGGGATTTCCCTCTTCTCCTGCAATTTCGGGTTGGGTTTTTTCCCCTCGAATTTTGGGTTTGGTTTCTGCCCTCCCCGTCCCCCTTGGATTTTGGGGGCTTCCTCCCACCCTTATTTATTTTTTCCACTTCAAATTCTGGTGGGTTTTACCCCCTCGAATTTTGTGTCGTTCCTGCTTTACACCTCTGGAATTTTGCCGTGCCCCCCATGAATTTTGTTTTCCTGTTCCCCGCGAGTATTTTGTTCTTTACCTGCCCTAGAATTTAATCTTTTTGCCCCTCAGAATTTTGTTTTCTTTCCCCTGGAATTGCTTTTTCCCCGTTTTCTAGCCCGCATTTCATTGCTGTGCCGTCTCCAGCTGCCGGGCTGGAGCTGTGTTCCACCCTGCCGTGGGATCAGAGGGGTCTGGAGGGGTGAAGTTGATTATTTGTGGGTTCTCCTGAGATGAAATTCTGGTTTTTGTGGGAGGGTTGAGGCAGAGCCAGTTCATCAGGAAACTTACCGTTCTGAGAGCGTCTCATTTGTTCTGGGTCCTTTTTCCCCGCCTTGTCGTTCCACCTGGTTTAATTCCATGACACCGATTTCCAGTTTGTCCGAGGCTGTGGGATGGCTTTGTGGCAGGGAAGGAGGAGAGCTTCAGCCTTTCAAATGCTAGCTGAGTCCTTTGTGATGCTTGATACCAATTAAAAAAGAATCCTTAAACGGAACTCTGGGCAAGCTTATCAACAAAATAATTGATTTTAACTTACTTTATTTATCTATCCACCCTGCTTGAGCGCTCCCTAAGAGAAGATTTCAGGAAAGCAAGAGCAAAACTTGGGATGTGCTGCCATGGATTGTGAGGAGAAACAGCTGGAGCAGGTCTCAGGTGTTGCCCATGATTGCTGACAGCAATTCACCCAGCAGGTGTATGCCAGCCCATCCCCAGCCAGAATAAATAAATAATCAATGATTTATTAATTATTAATCGGTTTAATAATTAACAGCACATAATGTTACTTCGCCATCTCGATTTATGCATAGCTGATATGTTGGGAAGTTTGTATGGGCTTGGAGGTCTTTGAGCTTTATAAGGATGTGTTTTTCCTGAGGACATGAGGATTTTTATTCTTTCTATAGCCCCAAGGGAGCTGTGCCTGCGTGGGGGCATCACTCAAGGCCTGCAGTTCAGTGACAGGAATCGGAGGATTTAAGGCTGCTCAGTGTTGTTTAATCTCTGGAGTGGTTTAGGATCATCAAGCACTGCCTGTGCTGAGCAGGGTCATTTACCCAAACAGACCCCAAAACATCCCTCAGCAGGCTGATGTGCTGGGTTGGTGGCTCTGGTGCCAGCTTTCTGCAGGGCTTTGGGAGAGCAGCGGGCAAGAGCACCCTCTGTGTGTTTGTGGGCTGATTCCCCTCCATTTTTCCCACTCGGATCTCTCCAGTTGAACAAAGCAGGAAGCAGCTCAGTGCCAGCTGTGTTCGGTGGCTCTGGGGGATGTGGGATCTCAGCCAAGGTCTCCTCCTGATCCATGCCAGGTGGAAGAGGCTCCCTTTGGGATGGGGCAGCAGTGCTGTCCTCTGTGAGATTCCCAGGCACCTCTGCCTTCCCCCATTGCCTGACTTTGCAATCCCAGGTTCACATAAGTGCTTCCTTGCCATGGAAGAGATGAGCTTAGGAGGGATGGAGACATTGGGAGAGGCGTCCTCCCAGGGAGCAGAATATCCAGCCCATCTGACATCCATCCTGCTGGAGAAGCAGCACTGACCAGAACCCAGCACCTGGACCAGAAGGGCCAAAAGGAGCTGAACTGGCTTCCAAGCTGAGGCTCTTATCAAAACATCAGTGCCAGCTGATTTAAAGGCTTGTCTGTCCTCCTTTCCCATCCAGGTTTCTTCCCTTACGGCAGCCCTCCCAAATGCCTTGTTTCTTATCCGCCTTTGTGTTGCAGACATCTTTTATGGAAAATCCTTTCCTTAGGATTTTTCCTTCTGAGAAGCTGAGAGCCCTCAGGAACAAATTGTGAACAATGGTTATCTGCTGCTGTGGAATGCAACAGGTGCATCTGTGATTGGACTATGTTGGATGTTTGTAATTAATGGCCAATCACAGCCCATCTGGGTTGGACAGAGAGCCGAGCCACAAACCTTTGTTATCATTCTTTCTTTTTCTATTCTTATCTGGCCTTCTGATGAAATCCTTTCTTCTATTCTTTTAGTATAGTTTTAATGTAATATATATCATAAAATAATAAATCAAGCCTTCTGAAACATGGAGTCAGATCCTCATCTCTTCCCTCATCCAAGAACCCCTGTGAACACCATCACACCTTGGTTCACAACTATTTTTAATTCTCATTCACTGCCTTCACCTTCCTCCCTTCTCTGCTGGAGGCTCTTTCAGCTGGTTGGGTTTGGTGGAGGTGGGGCTGTGCTGCAGGGCCCCTCCCTGTCCCCTCCCAGCCCGTGTGCTGCTGTTGGTGGCTGTGCCACCACTCCAGGGGGTGCACAGCTTGTCACAGTCACACCAGCTGTGTGCCAGCAGCTTATCCCGCTGCTGGTGCCTGGCCGGGCTGCTCCCCTCTAATCCCTCCCTGTTCCGCCTCCTGGAGCAAGGCCCCACAAACGCTGCTGGGAGAGGAGGAGGGGTCCCTGTCTTTTCCACCCCCTTCACCCTCTGGAAATGGAGAGAGAAGGAAAGGTGCTCCAGGGGAAGGTTTGCTGTCTTGCTCTGCCAGAGGATTTCTTACCAAAAAAAGAAGATGCCTCAAACGCACCTTGTCGTGTGTCTGTCAGGTGCCATCTGTGTGTCTTGGGCCACTTGAACTCCTGGTGGGAGGCCAACTGGCAGACATCACAGTGGTCAAGGGCTCACTTTAGAGAAGCCTCTCTAGCAGTTTGTTGCTGTAGAGTGCTGGGAAGCTCATCCAAGCTGTGCTTCCCATCCTATAGCAAGACTGGCCCTTCTGGTGTGTGAGTGTAGCCCCTGCTGGGCACTCACCTGTCCCTGGGTGTCCCCAGGGTGCCCTGTGCCTGTCACAGCCCTGTGCCTGATGCTCAGTGATTCATCTGTGGGATTTGATGCTCTGAATCAAGTCTGGGGTCTATGAGCTGTAGGAAGAGGTCAGTCTGTGGTGCCAGGAGCAGTTTGAACCCCATAGCAATGGGCTAGGCCTGCCTTGAAGTGGGAATCCTCAGGGATGCAGATGCACCTCTGCCTGTGTGCAGCATCCTGCCTGGCTCTCTGTGCATCACTGGGAGGTGTTGGAGATTTTTTCAGAAATGGCTTAGAAGGCAGCTGTGAGGAGCAAATTCTCACAGCCTGTTTCTGTAAACAGTAGTTCTCAGGTTGTTTTTAATTACAAGTGAAAGTGACAAACATGAAGGCCTTGAGAACCTTGCATACCAGAGTTCTCAGGCAGCTTTCTCATAACAAGTAGATATTCTATCTTTAGTTGTTTTGGGAAAGTAAAAGTAAGTTTTGAGAACACAAATCTTGGTATTGGAAACAAAAGGAGGGGTTGGTGTGTTATCTCTGACCTGTTGTGAGCTCGGGTTTTGCAATATGCGTGAACTTAATTAACACGGTTATAAAAAGTGACTGATTGAGTCAATAAACGGAGTCGATGCTGAACCAACAAAGGTGGGTCTTCTCCCTCCAATAGGGAGGAGAGGGGGAAACACCTCACAAACTTTTGGCTGGGCAGTCTGTGATTGTGGGTCAGAGTTGTTCTGGGCTCTTTGTGGGTTTGAGCTCTGCATGGGTCTCTTCCATACGGAAGCTTAAGGTCGTGTATCCAAAACTTAAGCA